GATGTAACATATTATTTAATACATACATTTAAAGGTTGCGCATGGCTCAAGAAATACAAAGAAAACTGGAAGAAACGGAAGTTAAACAAAGGGAATTGGAAAGTAGAGGTGTTAGCGTTGAAAAGGCTCTTCGTGGAGAAAACGGTAAGAACTTATCGTTACTGAAGATTTTACTGTACACCCTTAAATAAAATATACTTTTAATATTTAGAATGGTCTGATCGAGAGGAAGCAGATTTACTCAGAGAGTGGTTTGATCTCATGAAGGAGCGTACGGAGTTGCGTAGATATGAGAAGGAGCTTCTAGTACGAGCTCAAGAAGTTCAGCTTGAAGATCGCCATGAAAGATTACAACAGGAATTGCGTGAACGCTTAGCTGATGACGGTTAATATTTCGTTATATTTCAACGTCTATTAACGTGATTGTAGATTAGAATATATTAGACTTCAAATGTTTTAAAAGAATATTAAAATGACAGGTGTATTCAATTTTTACAGATAATAAAAAAACCAACGCTGATGTAAAGAAAGAAGGAGAGATTTTAACAGAAATGTTGGAAATAGTCGCGAAGCGGGACTCGCTCATCGCCCTTTTAGCAGAAGAGCGACAAAGGTGGTGTAAATCTACATGCCAAACATTAACTCCCTTTCCTCCATATACAGTTGCCTGTTCCTCGCACGTATCTAGTTTCTCTTCTGATTTAAACGACACATCTTCTATGTTCACTTTCATAGTCATTTTAATTATGTATGTGTTTTTGACTAACTTAATAGAATTGTTCGTTAATTTTTATAACGAACCTCTAACGCTTTCCAAATCTTGATATTTTTTAAAAATTTCTTAATTGCATATGTGATATTAAAATTCCTTTATTTTTATTTACATTTTATAAGTGTTAAAAAAAAACTCAGTTTTCATAGTATTCATATTGAATTTATTTTAGATACAATTATGCATTTATATGTTAAAGCTCTACACCTTTTAAACTACAACTCAATGCATTTTGTTATCCAACATTTTTTTGTTAAAATAATAAATATTTATCGTTCTGAAGCTATAACATTAAGTAGTGATCGGTATACAGTTTCTTCCATTTACTCGTAACATTAACTTTGTAATGCATGCAAAGAAGCATGTCGTAAGAAAGTTATTTTTTACTTTTTACAATTTTTAAACCTTTGTTGTAATTCAATTACGCATGTTATTCATATACACAAGTTTTTTTTTTGTTATTTTCTGTTATAAGTATTTTTCTTTGCATTGTGATAAAGTGATGTATTCACATACATGACTGTATTGTGGTACGGCTGTAAGAATGAAAATGTTTTGGTTGTACTTAAAATTATCTTTAGCCATATACAGGGTTAAAAATATAGCATCGTTAAAATTATAGTGATGTAACTGTTGTTAAATTTTTAAGTATTCCCCAATGGATACTCTGAAAAGAATAAAATGTATTACTGTATGTGTTTATGATAATTATTTCCTAAACACATATCTCTATTACAAAAAGGGTAAGAATCAAAGGTCCTATAGTTGAAGTTTTTAATAAAACAATAACTAATACTTAAACAAACTTTTTAAAAAGAATGGAAGTATATTGTATATTTTTACAAAAGCTTTTTATTAATTTGATTTTTGATGATGAAATATAAAAGGAACATTTGATAAACAATAATAAATATTTTTTTGGATACAAAACTATTTCAATATTTTGTTGCTTTATATTAATTTCGACAGTGTTCTATTTTTACGAGATAAAGACGTTATCACACTTAAATTCTATTATATTTAGTAGTTAATGGAAGCATACTTTTCTTTTAGGTATCAAGATGAAGATCGCGACCTTGAAGCTCAAATGTTGGCTAAAGGCCTCAGATTAACTCCAATAAAAAAATGCGGTCCTAAGTATCCGGTTTAATAGGAATCACATTATTGTACATATACTCCATTCTATATTTCCATTGACAAATTTTAACAAATAATTAAATTAACAATGCTGTAAATAAGAATCAGATCTTATAAGGGTCAAGTGTCTTAAAAAGATCAAACCTTATGTTTCACGTCATTTTTATGCATATTGAAACATGAATTGAGTTACAAGTCTTTCATTGCATATACACAAATCAAATACATTGACTTTTTATAAACATGGACCAATTATTTCGTTTTACATCTTTGACTTTTACAAATTGTTTAGTACGACTTTTATTTTGAGCTGTACACATGTACGTTTTTAAGAATTTCCATTTGCTTGTAGTACACATTTCTTATGTATTATATGTTATAAATTTTGAAACTGTCGAAATACGTGGAATTGTATTATAAATGAACTTCAGCCCTCGTTGTTTAGCATTTAAGGTACAGTAAATAGGATAAGGTAACAGAAGGAACATGAAGATTATTGCACATGTGTGTAATTTGTACAAAGACACAATGTGACATATGGATTTGAAGAAAATTTTGTGAATACATACATATATTTTGTCACTGCTGAATATTGATCACAATTATGAAATAAGTTATCACAAAAACATTTTGCCTTTACATGTAAATCAATCAAAGTGTAATCATTATATATACACAGATTTGATTACTACAGACACAAAATGTTGTATTTTGTGATTTGATAGAATAACTAAACCAGAAGTGATATAGCAAATACCTTTTGCATTACAACAACGTGCATTGAAATATATATATATATACATATATATACATGCATATGTATATGTTATATATATATATACACATTATATGAGACTGGTAAACAAAATGTATGAAGAATTATAAAATTTTAAGCCACAAGCATGTAAAATTTTGTATGAAATACAATTGAAAAATGAACTTATATTTACAATTAGAAAATAATATTGAAATCAGCCTCTAATTTCCTTGCTATGTATTTGACACACAATATGTTACAGTATCAGTTACACACATCGAAATAAGCTGCCAATTTTTTAGCCTCAGATGTTAGATATTTAAACAATAATTTAAAATGTAAAAATACATAATAGTCATAATATAAATAAAAGTATAAAATAATTCTCTGCAGATCTTTACATAAAAGATTACAAAATGTAAGTAGGGAATGTAGTATTATTCTAATCATATTTGCCATTTATAGAAATAAGTATATGAATGAATGTTAATACATTTTTTAATGCTTTATTTAAATTACTATTCTACCACACAAAAATATTTTTGTGTCTTACAAGAAATTCAAATGCCATTGTAGATGTATTAATAAAGTATATATCATATAATATTTAAAATACTTAGGACATACTAAAATTAGACTAAATAATGTAAAAATATAGGGAATAAGCATTCTAAGTTGAACCTCTACAGACAACAATTTATTATGAATATTGCCCAGTATAGCTTAGTCTTTGTACAATTAATTAATAATCTAATAGTTTAGAAATTAAATTCATAGCAAATACACAATTTTTTTTCTTTCTTGTATGTCTATATTTAATATCTTGATGTTCAATACTAGTCTTATTTTGAATACTTCATGAATAAGCTTCAAAGAGGAAAAAGTAAATCTCATTAATTTTATTATAATTTTTTACCATCAGAAATATTTTAACTTACAGTGTGCCTCATAATTATAAATTAAAAAAATTAACTGCCTTGACTTATCCTAATTACAATGTTCAACTTCATTTGAAAAAGTTGTACAATGATCTTAGCAATCATGTGTGCCTAGAAAATGGAATTGTGCAACATATGTAATTGAAAGCAAATCTTATAATTGATAAACTGAAAGTACGTGTTCAGTTTAACATTTTGTGAAAGTCCTTACAAATCTACATAACTTTATTACAAATAACACTAGTCTTTTATAGAGGAAAGCAAACTATAATGCAGTTCATGCAAGATTTATTGAAATATAACTTCCACAAAAACATTTCATTATAATTTAAACAACATATTGCACATAATAACATATTATTATTTAATTTAACTATAATAGCTTTGTATCAAAATCTCCTTTTATTCAGATAGAGAATTATAAAGTAATGTATACATGTATGTATAATTATAACTTCTATAAGACAAAACTACAAAATCAACGTTCACTCAATATAATATAATTTTATAAAATTTTAGATGTAATTAAAAGTACTTTTATTACTAATTTTTATCTTTTACGAAAATGTAGAAAATGATATTTTTATTGCTTCATTAAAATAATGTGTTTCTTTTAATTGCACACTTAAGTCATTAAAGAATTAAATATTGAGAAACGTTGGTATAAAGAATGTATATGAATTATTGAAAATTATGACATTTAGAAACTGAGGGCTAATATTTTATATGTTGCCTAACGTTATCGTAATTTTAATAAATATCTGATATTCTGTACAACAGTGGTAAAGTAATTTATCTATGTATTTATAAATCCTTAAGTATGTGTTATAAAAACGGTTTTCAGTGTAATTAACACAAATAATTATTTTTTGTAATGATGAAAATAAATATGATTATACATAATTTTATTTTCATCCTTTAAGTAGATATATCCATTCTACACTTATTTGTTACATTCTATTTTTCATAAAGTTTTTATTATTTAAACAGCTCGCAAATAGTATCTAATTTCTTCAAGATCAAATTATTCTCAAAAAAAAAATCGTAAATACACACGATATAAGAAAAGCGTTACTTAAAATGTTTAAATTTAAAAGGCCCAAACGTATTGACATATCAAAACATTGGGTGGGTGTAATTTTTAAAATTGTGTTAGGATTAAAAAATTGATCGCTTAATCTCAAACTGACCTATATTTAGACATTTATTTATTTACAAAATATACATACAGTATCTTAATTTAACGTTAATTCAACGTGTCACGTGATTTTCATATTTTTAGCGCGTATCACTTATATCGCAACAGTATGTGACCGACCAATAGGAATAAGTATGAAGATATTCGTTAATCGAGCAGTGGGGAAAGGGAGTGACGAGTGACTACGAATTACAATTAGCGACACAACAAATGAAAGCGTGACGTGAATCGCTGGTTTGCCATACCGCGTCGGGATAATGTCGTTCGAGAAGAAAAACGTTGTCCGTTTGTAAAGCAGGCTACATAAAAGCCCCGTAATTTAATCCCGGCACTGTTTTATCACGCAGTTGCCAGAAAATGGAAGCAGACTATCAACCGACGCTAAGCCCTACGCGAACTTTGACAGGTGAGCTTATCTGTCGTGATTGTTGACGCTGCTTTGGGTGTCAAATAAACGTCACATCAAGTACATATCGTCGAAAATCGTGATTGTAAAAGTTCACCTGGCATCGACGTTTTTCTGTTCGTTCTAGCGAGAAAACATTTCACGATGGATCTCAGTCTCCTATGTGGAAAAGCACATCGATAAGTGACGAATAATTCGCGTATTGACACGATAGTGCGTATTACAAAATTCAAGATTTGATCACAATTTGACTTACTTTTATTACTTGGTTGAAACGTATATACACATTAGTAGAAAATTCATTCTTTTAAGTTTTACGATTGCCTAGTAATTTGTAAACACCGATGAAATGCAGCAAAATATTTATCGGAGATCATGTACCGCGTAATGTGATCAGGAAAAATGATATATAACGAGAAACCGCGAGATGTATACAAGTCATCAATTTATTATGATACTTGTTATGTAAACATATTTTTTTTAATTGCTATTTAGTATCTTTTAAGCATCTGTTTATGAAAACAACACCATTGATCAAATAAAGAATTGCAATGGCTAATGTAGTGTTTTGTGATTCATTCAAACATATTTGGTACAGACAATAATGCGCATACTTCTGTTTGTATGATAGCAATAGCTAATGACGTCGAAGACCCATACCCAAGTTTGTCAGATTATCATGATTATGAGCCCAACTTGGAGTTCGATGATACTGAGTTACAAACCACTCCAAATAATGGTAAGATATTTAAGTATATATAAAATATTGATTGTTAATATAAAGTTAAAAAAATTTTGCATTGTCATTCTTACAATATGTTTATGATATTTACTTGTGTTAGCATTACATTGTCCTTATAAATTCTTATATTAAATACAATTAAAAATGAATTCACAGAATTGTTCTAGAATATAATTAGAGTATTCGATTTGTAGCTGTACAGCTTTTAGAAGAAAAATTGGATTTAACTAGCAGTGGTGCAGGTACTGGGATAGATTATCTGGAGAGTCCAGTAAGCGATGGGACAATCGAAGAAAACTTTGAAGAAGCTTTAGTAGATGCTCCAGTTATTGAATCCGGTGTGTGACCTTTTATCTTCTGTTAGTAGCCACTAAATGTCATGGCATTTGGGGCTTAGCAGGTGAATTATGTAGATCATTGTACAGTTTATTATTGCATGGTATAACAATGCACAGAAGCAAAGGTTAAATGACTGTCTTTTACTTTGTTTATAATTAAATTATTTTGGGCATTTATGTTGTAAAAAGTGTCAAAAGGAAAGCAAAAGAAAATTTAACCTGAAAACAAAAAAATTATTATAAATATAATCTTTTATGCTAAGTAGCAGAGGATCTTGCTGCATTGGATGGTGAACTTGCGGATGAAGAAGATTATCTTGATATTTCAAGATATGGCATTGTAGAAGTGGTTGGTGATGATAGTGCTGGTCGTAAAATAATAGTAGTATCTGCATGTAAATTACCTCCTGTTGGAAAAGAAACATTTAATCATGCTAAACTTCTCAGGTTTGTAATATAGACATATACATGAGTATTATAAATATGTAATCTTTCTAAGATTTAGAATATTTTCATTATTTTTATAATCGTACATATATTTGACAGGTATCTCACACATACTTTAGACACATTTGTAGAACAAGACTATAGTTTAGTTTATTTTCACTATGGTCTTACTTCAAAAAACAAACCACCATTATCCTGGTTATGGCAAGCATATAAAGCTTTTGATAGAAAGTATAAAAAAAATTTGAAAGCTCTGTATTTAGTACACCCAACTAATTTTATTAGAATTGTATGGCAAATATTTAAGCCAGCCATCAGGTAAAGTTTTCTCTTTACTTTTACTTAATGAATTTTGCTTAATTACTCTATTAAATTACTGTATATTATTTCCAATATTTTAGTGCAAAGTTTGGCCGGAAAATGATGTATGTCAATTATTTAGAGGAACTGGCACAATATATTAATCTTGATCAACTTATTATACCTCCTCAAGTAATAGAGTAAGGATTTTCTTTATTATTGTTGTGTCTTCAAGTTAATTTAGTATTGTATTCAGTATTATGTACATTGATAGTAACTACTTATATTTATTCCTTTTCAGACATAATGAACAGCTAATGTTAAAGAACAAAAAGAATTTACCAACAAGTCCACCTCAGAGTACGGTAACAACACCGGTTGGTACCACTCAGTTTGGAGCAAGTCTCCTATTTATTAAAGAAAATAATAATGGCGATCCTATACCACCAATAGTGCGACAATGTGTTGAATTTCTCGATACACCTGATGGTATGTTTAACTATGTAACTTTTATACTTTCGTTATTTCCTTTTAAAAATGATAAGATAACAACATTGTACACTTACAGCATTAGAAACAGAAGGAATATTTAGAAGATCAGCTAATGTAGCTGTAGTTAAAGAACTTCAGAACCGTTGTAATCAAGGATTACCTGTTGATTTTCAAGGAGATCCACATATAGCAGCCGTTCTTCTTAAAACATTTCTACGAGAATTAGATGAACCTCTTATGACGTATGAATTATACGATGAAATAACACAATTTCAATGTAAATATTTAGATTCATTGATATCATTTATTAATGTTACGTACAGCGTAATATAAACATATATGTATATATATATGTATGTATATGTATATATATATATATGTATATTTCAGCCCTGTCGAAAGATGAACGTCCAAGAAGAGTTAAAATATTAGTACTAGAAAAACTTCCAGAAGACAATTATCAGCTTTTAAAATATATTGTACAATTTTTATCGAGGGTAAATTATTATTATTCTAATAATGGCACTATTTGTCTTTATTTAGACGAGTTATGATTTTATGATAACACATGTTATTTACAACAGGTAATGGATAGGTGTGATTTAAACAAAATGACATCAAGTAATCTCGCCGTCGTGTTTGGTCCAAATCTTGTCAGAGCACCACCATCTTGTGGGATGTCGCTTTCTGCGATAGGTCCCATTAATCAATTCATAGATTTTTTGTTTACTCATCAAGATAAAATATTTATTATTTAAAGAAAGTGCAGTACTGAACGCTAAAGGCCTAATTTGGAACGAAATTAATATTTTATGTATGTTATAGAACAGAAATCCTATAAATTTGTTGCCAAGTTTAATATTGTATAAACTTATATAATATAACTTCGAAGAAAATTTTATAGGATTTTTAGCAGAAGTACGACAAGTTTCTAAGACTTTCATCTTAGTGTGTAAAAACGAGATATCTCATCGATCAATCGTAGAATTTCAAAGTCATATCAAACTTGTTGGAACTTAAAGCGAACGTAACAATTCGTGTATGATATTCATATTTAATTATAACACCCGTACTTTGTTGATTAAAATATTTTTATATTCAAATATACAGATAGAGAAATACTTGCATACCTAATGTCACAAAATAGCGCTTAGATATACAGCTTGCACAAGATTTTTTTCAGTAAATTGGTACAATGATTTTAGAATGAATATACTGAATATTAAAATAATGTAAATCAGTCTGGATGCTATGTAGTTCAAAAGTGTGTAAAGATATATAAAAATTAATGGTATACCAAAGATATGTGAAAATGTCATGCAATTATTATAAAATGTAGGGTTATTTAAAAATAGTATAACATAATAAATATAAACGAGCAAATTATGATGGTGCACAAGATGCCTTGCTCGCATAATTTTATTAATTTAAGAAAAATGAACATGACAAGATTCATAAAAGTCATAATTATTTAAAGTCGTAATAACTGCATCTTGTTATAGTTGTTTAGTATAGCCAAAGTGAAAAATGGTAATGAATTAGCAACTACTAATAGGATATGGCATCCTTTGTATTGAAATTATGTATATACACAGAAATTAATAGTAATGTATACAAATTTAATCTGATTAAATGAAATTGTTTTCTTAATTACATAAATATAAAAAATTAAATGAATTGTTTAAATGATCACATTAGAAAGCTGAATTTAAATTCACAATCAAATTTTTTATTTTTAAGTAAATATGAAATAAATTACCAATGTGATTAGCATACTTATGTGATACTTATCTATAACTTTCAATATAATGACAAACTATGAATATCAAATTCAAAATGGAAGAGAATATTCGCATGGTTATTTTCTGGTTATTAAAATAGTAACAAATGATAGAAATTGTTATTCATTATTGTGGTAATCTAACAATTAGATTAAAATCATTGTCAGGGTATCATGTAATATAATATTTAGCATATTGTCTGTTGTCATTTCAAAGATAAAATACTTATACTAATCTTTCCACTATCTTGTATGTATCTTTGTACATTTTCTTAAATAGTCCTGCCATTATGGGTTTCTGGGATAAAATAGAGGCTAATTGCCTAATACCTTCTTTGTTATGGAAAAAGACTAACCCAGACCTATATAGAACTGATACAATTCAATTACATTCCTCGTTATTGATAGAATGGAAATACTGTAATAAACTATAATTATTTGTACGAACACTAGGATAATTAATGTCACAATTTGTACATTACACAATGTATAATTTTCTAATTACTTTTTCTGATGCATTTTGTTTCTTACTTACAAATAGCAGTGAATAATTCAATCTTAAATTTATGTCGAGTTCTTAAAGTTATGTTGTAAAAAAATAAATCATTTAATGAAATAACGTTTATGTTGCTACTATAAATGGTTTTGTGGATGTTTATGATCCATGTATGTACCTGTGATAGAGTAGAATATTGTACTTTAGTCTCACAAATATTGTGCATGTAATTAGTAAGTCTTTTACTTTGTAACTAATTACAAACTAATCTAAATTGCGAATTACAAAACACAAAACATTCCGAAGAAATAACATCGTATTAAATATGTGTATATGTTAATTAACTTTTTATTAAAACACAATAGTATTTAAATATACGTACATTTATATGACAGAAATACATAGATCTGATAATTGTAATAAACCTTCTAGTTATACGATATATACGAATAACAAGATATTTAGTTTATGAGTCAACTGAAGCTCTATCAATGTAATGACATATTGAAATACATAAAAATCAACTCCCAAAATATAATCAGTATTTCTTATCTTGCACTCAATTAAATTACTTATTGTTAGG